CCTTATTTGATCATTTTTCGAGCTGTGAAAAATAAGGTTTCTTTTTTTGTGGATGGCTGAGACTAGTTGGAAACAGAGAATGAATTTAAATTATATGTTCTTTAAAGTCCCTCCTAATAATAATTATGATTCTGCCATTTATGCCAACTTGTAATGGGAATAATTAATACTGTGTGAGATTTTACTATCTGCCAGGCCCACTGTTCTAAATAGCTACGTGAATTATTTCATCATCCAAAAATACTCCATGGGGCTGGCACTATAAGATAGAAAGATTATTATTACAATTCAATGTCAAATAGCAGGTAAGGATTCATTAGAGATTGCAAATAAAGCTTTTTGTAGGCAAAACACTCCAGTATTTTACCAACTGAAAAGTGCGTTTTCTCTTTCCTAACCCCCATCATTTATATATGTGTGCGATGAAGTCGCTGTTTATTTATTTTCATTTGGAAATATGTTCCTATGGTTCCTTTGATTATGAAGAGGAGTTAGGCACTGGAGGCTCCCCCAGGGAGCCTGTCTACGTGCAGGTAGATATGGAGGGGCAGCTCTGGACACTACTCCTGAGAGGGAGAGGAGGCCAAGAAAGGAAGACTTGCAAAGGGAACTATCTAAGCCAGAAGGCCCTTCGTGTCTGCCCTGACTGAGTCAAGAAAGCCTGGGGACCCCAGACCCATTAGGTATTTGCCAGTGGCCAAGAGACCTTTGGCCTGACGAGAGATCCAGCCAAGGCAGCTGCTGGGGATCCTGAGGGAGCTGCCGCAAGGGCTTTTGGGCCCTGAGGCATGTGTGTCACGGATGCTCCTACATCCAGCACAGAAACACTGGGCTGAGGCAGTTGATTACTTCAAGATGGTATCTGACAGGAGGTGGCACCTGTCAGGGCTCAGAACAGAGGGAGGGAGAGCAAAGGCCAGAATCATATTCTAGGTTGGCTCAGCAGAAAAGACACTGTTTATAGGCATACGTCCAAAAAAATAGAAGAATGGCTAAGGAGATGTCCTCTAAAACTTCATAGAAACTAGAGAGAAAATTGACACACACTGGAAGATTTGGTGAAACCTAGAAGAATGAACAGGAGGCCACAGAGAGGAAGCCAAAGGTCGATCCTATTCCCTTCCCAGGCTCTCTTCAGACAGTGTCTGACAGTGCGGGGTATTTTTGGAGGAGACAAAAGACAAAGCCTGGGCAGGAATCCATCGAAGAAGCAGCCACATCTCCACGGCCCCAGCTAGCTCTGCCCAGTCGAGCAATCCCCTTCCCCCCAGGGAAATGTGTGCCTCAGTGTCTGGGGGAGGGGACAGTGTCCAGTGTCGTTGGAGTAGGTTGGAGAAAGTTGTTGGAGCTGGCACCACCGGGAGGAGGTACAGTGGGGGGCCTGGTGGGGAAGCCAGCAATGCTGGCAAACTGCTGACGGACGTCCTTGCTGGCCACTCTCCCCCTTCAACTCAGAACCCCGGCTGCCAGCCTTTTGCCCATCAGGACAGATGTTGGGTACTTCTGGGAAACCTGGCCAGCCTATAGGAAAGCATCTTAAATGGGTCTCCGCCTAAACAGCTCAGGCAGGTCACGCCTCAGGCCAGCTCTTGGGCAGCAGTGCTTCCTAGGTGTCCACACAGCCCATACTTTTTCACATGACCAGATAATACAGAATTTGCAAACTTTTCATGCTGGAAGAAAAAAAAGAGACAAACAAACAACAACAACAACAAAATGACATGGAGAAAACAGCCCATCCAGGGGAGAAAATGAACAAGATAAATAAAAGTTGCACAAATCTCTCAGAGTGATAAAAGAACATATTAAAGCTATGAAACAGGAGCAATCACTTAAAATAAAAATCATTCAGAGTACATAAAACAGCTCTTGGAAATTAAAATATGATAGAAAAAAGAAAAGCTCAAATGATTATGCAATAAAAGTTCAGCAAATCCCCCAGCAAGCAGAGCGATGGACAGGGTGTCGACAACAGGAGCGAAGGAAAGCACAGACCCCAGAGGTTCCAGCGTGCAGGTGGGAGTGATCCCGGCACGAATCGGAAGGATGCAGTTCTCACCTGGAAATTCGTGCTCAGCCTGAGGTCAGTTACAGAGCAGGTACAGTGAGCGCCTTCTTTAGACAGGCAGCATCTTGGAAACTTCCTCCCATGAGCTTTTCCTTAGGAAGGCAGAAAGCAGTGTGGTCCAGCCACCTGGGACGCGCCCAGAAGATGGGCGTCAGGAGGCCCCAGGTGAGCCGAAGCCACTGTCCCGGGAGGAGACGCCTGCGGGGCGTCAGGCTGTGCCCCAGGCATGGACCGGCCCAGTCCAGATGCACGAAGGCTCCTGGAGATTTCTCTTCAGGAAGAACCCGCTGGTAGAACACCCCAGCAATGCCAACAGCTGCGGTTGGGGGGTTGAATTAGTAAGTATGTGGAAACTCTAGGAGAATGAGTGTGCTGGGAACTGAAGGCTAAGACTTGCGACATGCTGAGTCACCAATTGCTTTTGCAACATCCTAAGCAAGGAGCACTGGACACTGGACTTACTGCCCTGCAGGGTGGGGTGGAGGGGGGAACATGAGCCCCAGCTGTTGCAGCCCAGGGCTCCACTGTCGGGGTAGTCTGTAGGTGTTGATCCAATGTGGAAAATGAGGAAAAACACCAAGTAGGTTATTTACAGGAATGACGATAAATGCAGAAACAGCTCAAGGAAGTATAACTGCACCTGAAATGTATATAATGTTATAATACAATGTTTCTTTAATTTTAAAAATTGCAGGTATCTGCCTCTGAGAAGGAAGAATTTGGGATGGGGGAGGTGGAGGGCTTTTCTTTTTTTTTTTTTCAATTTTGTAAAATATCACATTGAATGGGCTGATCCTTAACGTTAACGTATGTGTATGTCCAGCTCTGAATAAAAATTCTTTTGATAAAGATGGATGGGGAAAATGAGAATATTAATTTTGTCAGTCATAAAGTGAAGTACATTTATTGACCTGAACAGCCTGCCTTATTCTGTCTGAAAATAAAGTGATAAATCACCGAGCTGGCTTCTGAGCAACTTTGGAAAAGCTGCTTATTTGGGTGACATTGTTAGACATATTCTGATATTAACATTCTAAAATGTTGATCTAAATGACCTTTAGATTTTTTTTTTATTCTTATAATCTTAACTCTGAACTCTCTATTTTGAAGAATATGACTATTGGAAAACATATACTTCGATAAATGATAAGTCTACCAGTGAGATAACTTAATGAAAAAAGAAAATAACATACAATAAAATGTCAGCGATGGGGACCTCATTAATTCAGTTTTTTTTCCATATTCTACCTAGGCGAAGGTGAAGTTTACCTTTGAATGCCTAAGAAGAAATGAATATTGTAAGCATCATTATAAGGATATCTTGGCCATTTCTTTAAAAGAAACTGAAAATTGCAGTGTATAATATATTATTTAATAGATTCTTTTAAAAATATGTGTATTGAGTTTATTCATGTAATAAATGCTCATTAAGTATCTATTTTGTCCAGACTTTGTGCTACATATTGAGAATCTAAGGCTGAAAATATATAATTCCTGCTTTGAACATGACAAATGAGTAAGGAAATTGAGGTGAAAATGAGCAATTAAATTAAAAGAAAAAATAATTGCTCTACTGAAGAATTACACAAAGTGCACTAGCAGCTTGGGAATGCAAATAGTGTTTTCATGCAGGGAACTTTATGCCACTTGAACTCACAGCGTAAATGGAAGTTAGCTGAACTGGACAGAGAAAATGAGAATTAGGAGCAAATACCAGCAAGAAAGACCAGCACGGATGTGGCAGACACGGGGAAAGACCACATGTTCTCGAAAGAGCAGGTAGTTCAGGATAGCTGAGCACTAAGAAGTGAGTCTGGAATGAGAGGAAGGGAATTCTGAAATTTATCATTTGGGTGGAGACACTGAGACACTATGAGTAGCTATTTTTGTTAGCAGTAGCCAAAATCTCAAGCTCTTTCTCTGCTCTGCGCTGTATCTCTCTGGCACTGAGAGAACTATTTTGCACCCAGGAGCTCATCTAATCCTCACAACTGCTTGATCCTCATTCTTAAGTTTTTCAAGCTACAAAGCAATGTTATAAAATTTGTGGAGAGGCTCCATTTTAATTTACTGTTTCGGTCAAGTGAAAAAAACGATATATAATAATTTATGCAGCTATGTAAAAACACATACAGTACAGCAAGAAATAAGGTGGAAAATATTCCAGGTGAGAAGTGACTTCCCCACGTGGAAATTTTCCAAAATATTCATCTACTGATCTTAGACTAAGAACAGCACCTGCAACGTTAGAAGAAGAGAAAAGCAAGGGGAGAAGGAAGCGATTCTGCAAAGAAGGAAGGGAGAGAGAGCTGGAGGAGAAAGCAAGGTAGCTCCTGGCTGGCAGGCAGTGCTGGAGGCGGGCGGGGTGAGGGAGACAGGCTGCCACTTCAGCGGGCACTGGCAGGGCGGCAATGAGAAGAAAAGAGAAAAGTCTAGAAAATGAGTGAAAGGGAAATGATGACGGGTTAGAAGCCTACCTGGGGCACACCTGGCGGGATTTATGGGAGGAAGGGGTGATTGGGGCTGTCTCCCTCAGCAGTTAGCTCACACCACCTCACGCCTGGCCTAGTCATGCCGTTGCTGTCAAAGCAAATGGAGGCTGAGCCGGCTGGTCCCCAGGTTGCCCCAGGACCTCACCTTCTGACTTTGACCTGCCATCGCCACACCCAGAACCTTCACACCTGGCTCGCAGGTGTGTAGCCAAGAACACACTGAGGCATTGGACGGGGTGGCTTGAGAGCCAGGGGGCCATTTCTCCAGCTTGTCTTGACTGACTTTCCTCTAGGCAACGCTGAGTTGCTTGTATGAGTGATGTCATGGCTCAGATGCTTGTATGATGTCATGGCTCAGGTGCTGACGTCACACTCTCACTGGCTTCTGAGTCTCCCCACGTCTCCACCTCTTTGTAACCCGCCCTGTCTTCACCCCGCAGGGCTCTATGAAACCTTTCTAACCAATGATGAACCAGAATGCTGTGACGTCAGGAGAGAAGAGCACCCCAAGGCCCCGGGCAAAGGCAAGGCGGGCCCGAGGGGCTCCTGCCACAGGACGTCGCCAGCTTCGGCAGCCGCCAGACTGTGCAGCAGCAGCAGGCTCAAGCTGTGCGTGCTCGTGCTGATCCTCCTGCACACGGTCCTCACGGCCTCGGCCACGCAGAACACGACGGCGCTGAGCTTCGGGGGGGTCCCCCCGCTGGAGGAGGGGTCCCCCAACGAGGACTAGCCGGGGTCCAGCCGGCGGGCCGCCCGCCGCCTGCGCAGACGGGGTGCTGCTCCCCCGGTCGCTGCTGCCAAGGCCCCTCGGGGACGCTCGGAACCGACGGGCCCGGCTCGGAACCCACGGGCCCGGCCCGGAGCGAGGACACGGACACAGCTTTTTACTGACTGCGAGGCTGTCAAGTGACTTAACTTTCTCACGCCATTTTATACACTGTGTTTTAATGTTGGGAGGTTTAATTTGCTTTCTTTTTTGATTTTGGGTTTATCCGTTGGTTGTTTGATTATTTTGGTTCTGGGTTGTTTTTTTGATTTTTTTTTTGGCACTTCTAATACAGGATTTCTTTCGGGGGATGGTTTCTCAGAGGAATACTAAGTCTTTTCACTGTCTCGCTCTCTCTAGATCGATTTCTAGTCATCGTGTGTGTTCATCAATAGTTCTGTCTGTCTGTCCTGTCCGTTTCTATTAGAGGAATGATTGCTATGACCTCACGGTGTAGCAAAAAAAATACAACAAAAAATCATAAAAAATAAAAAAGACAAAAAAAACAACAAAAAAGAAAAATAAAAAAATCCCCGGACCCTCCAACCTCCAGACCAGAAGCCCTGCCCGCACCCCCGGCCCCCCCGCCGCCCCCCTTTCCTGCCCCCCGCCCCCCGCAGACGCCATCCGCTTGCTTCTGTCCGCGTGGCCAGTGGCGGGGCGCGCCTGGGGCCTGTCCGCGCCGCGCACCCCTCCGCGGAGCCGGCCCGGGGGTTCCTTTTTAGCTGAACAAACAAGTGCTCTCCGGGTGGAACCAGACGGTTAACTCATTTTTCTGTTGAAACAAACAAAATTCAAGCAAAGAAATCTCCTGACTATGTCGCTCCAGCTCCCCAACTCAAGGCCCAGCCCGGTCCCGCCGGGGCGCGCGGGGGGCCGCCCGGCTCGGGCTCAGGGGGGCCCCCCCAGAAGCCTGGGCGGCCCCGCGGTTCTGCTCGGGGGCAGGAGGAGACGAGCAGGCCGTCGCCGTGGTGTGGGGAACACAGGGATGGAGGCACGAGCCTGGACTTCTTTGCTCCTCTGTCGCTGTTGGGGGGTACGGCAGCGGCACCCCAACACCGCCTCTACAGAATATATCCGATTTTATCCCAGTATCTCCCCGACATGTGGTTTAAAATTATTCCAGGTATAAAGTGTATGCAATTCTGCATTATCACAAAAGAAGAACTTTTTAAAAAAAAAAGGTAAATAACTAGGTTAGCCATTATTTTCATTAAAATGCAAAAACTTTATCACTCTAACCCGCTCTAGATAACCGAAGACACGGGGAATCTGACCGCTGTTTTCTTCGTGTGTGGGAACATTTCACCCGCTGAGTGTACATGAATTTGCTTTCTACAAAAGGCTTTTATGAATTTACAGTAGAATCAGTGGAAGGAAGAGTTAATAAGGGCTGTTTTTAAAAAAACAAACAAACAAACAAACAAAACAAATAATTTAAAAAACACATTCCTTCCTGGTCCCGAGCTACACTGGGAAGTGCTTCAGATTCGTCTGCTGTGTAGGTGGGAGCTGAAGGAAAACCTGAGAAAGGTCCTCTTAGTGAACAAAATTTAGTTACTAACTTTCTAGCTATGAAATTCCCCCAGGCATTTGTTTTTGTTCAAACAAACTTTAATCTCTGCATCAGACTTAAGCCCTGCAATGTGCGTACAGTATGCATATTTTGTTTTGAAGAAAAAAAATGTTTTGTTCCAGTCTGTTAAGAATATTCAAAAAATAATAAAGGCATTGCTTAATAAAATTGCTAGAATTGTTTAGCAGTACATGCACAACTATTTTACTAGATTCTTTGTTTTAATAGTGTTTTGTTGAGACTGAAAATCCTGAAATGGTCTGCGCAAATACAAAAAACACCAAAAATGCAAAATCCTGCAGTTTTTGTTCCTTTTTCTTCAAATTGGTTTTTCATGCACATGCAAACACTTTCCCACATGCACACACACATTGGAACCATATTTTTAATGTGCAGAAATAGGGTGCTCTTTGAGGGAGATGAGCAGGTGGGAGCAGCTTGGGCTCATCGTCACTGCACTGAATTGTTAAACTCTTGCAGAAATGAGCGTTTGAACATTCAACTAGTGGTGGGCTATTGCTTTCATTGAGCGTGGGGGGCAGGAGAAAAGCAGGGGTGCAGTGAAGGGCGATGGGAGGTTGTGATGACATGAGAAACTTAGCAGGTGAGCTCTTACTCGGCTGGCCTCGTGGAGGTTTAGCTACACCGCGGGAAGTGTTTGCTTTGTCCTCTCTCTGTGGGCAGGGCACACCACAGCCCGTTCCATCACCCTTGCTCATGCTTCTGGGCAAGCCAAAGTCATCGCCAGCCCGGCAGGTATGACAGTGAGCACCTGTGCAGCTTCCACCCTCTCCTCCCGGTATGACCAGATGTTACCGTCGGTAAACACGGGGCCGAAATGATGCAAAATGGTAAATTTGTCACACACTGAGCTTCCTCTCCTCTTAATAGCTTTTGAAGCTTCTGAAAATTCTCTCCAAATGTGACAGAATTGGATGTTTGTCCACCTGCCCATGTTGTAATATGAGTTCGGGGAAAATATCGAAGCAAAGAGAGAACACAAGTCACCATCATGGGTTTGCGTGAGAAGCCGACTGTCCACAGACAGCAGCAGGCCTGGAGAAGCTCTGCAGGACAACTGCCTATGGGGAGTTCGGGTTCATGTGGGGGAAAGGCGGGGTGGGGGGTGTTTTTTCTCTCCAGCTAGTCAGCCAGGGCTGGAATAGTCTGGAATTCTCGTAGGATGTTTTTCATGCCTGATGCATTTATTCCTGTACTTGAGGATGGTTTCCGTGCAAGCGGCTGTTACTGTGGATGTGTCCCTCCCCGTCACACCGTGAAGTGACGAAGCCTTTCCTGTGGCCAGCTAGAGGGTTCACTAGATGCCAACTCCTTGACAAAGTCAAGAAAACAAGAACACTGATGCTGCGCATCGCACGGCGGCCCCGCATCGTGTGCAGAAGTCCTTAGCAGGAGCGACATGCCGGGTCACCGCTAACAGCACAATTCAGACGCAGCTCCTTTGCAGAGATCCTATTTCTCGGCCCTCTCCTGCCTTCTGGATAATGAGCCCTTTATTAAAACAATTATTTCCACAAGCAATTTAAAAACCAAGAAAATAATTTTTCACAACTGTATGAAACGGATTCCCACGTTTGCTATGTTCACCATGGCCATGCTCGCAGCAAGAGATCAACCCCGTCTGTGGAATGTTCTGATGCTGCAAACCAAGGGCCAGGAAGCCGGGGCGGCACAGGGCAACCTGACCCGTCCACAATCCCGTTACACTGACTTCCCTTTCCTTGAGCAGGTAGTTGGGTCACCCTGTGCCACAGCACACGTGAAAGTCAGCCTTTGAAATGACATTACACGGATTTTGAAAGAGGAATTTAGCTCCGTACCAATGCATTGGAATGAAAAGCTAGTAGAAGCCGCAGTTATTCAAACAACGGAGCAGGCGGGCAGCGAGGGCAAGAAAAGGAGGAGGGAGAGAGAGAGATGGGAGGAGGGAAGAGACAGAAACGGGTTTATGTGATGGGATCGGAACATGCTTCTGCTGGGACAAAAAGTAAATGAAGGCTGCGGCTGGATGACAGACCCATTGAAGAACAGCCGGGTTGCAGGGCGGAGCTGCTGTCTGGACTAGGAAACCTTGAGCGTCTGAGACACCGTTCTTGGTCTCTCCAGGTGCAACTGAGTGCACGGGGTTCTCGCTGCTGGACACGTCGAGGCAGCAGGGAAAGCAGCAGCCAGCTGGCTGGCCTGTGCACGCGTGTGCAAGGAGAAGGGTTTTACAGCAATGCGTGAGAAGCATGTGCACACTTACCTGCATCTGCCCACAAGTAAAATTTTAATCACAAAATAAACTACTGACTCCACAAATAAGACACAAAGAATCAGGATGCATGATTCCTATTGTTGGCTAAAATTTGAGAGGCGTGCTCACTGAAAACTCTCCTGCTCTGATATGGAAAAGAGACTCTCAGACTGTCCCTTCTAAAGAGTGATGGCTTTGAAATCACCAGAAACTTCCCCTCCCCTCAGCTTTGATGATGTTTTAAAAAAGAGAGAATAAAACATGTAGGTATTGCATGACGGTGGAAACAAACCCCCTTAAATGAGAGGATGAGAAAAAATAAAATGGAGGTTCTAGCAACATCCGAATTGCATTGTCAGTCATGACCCATTCACTACAAACTCTAGGAATTCTCCAAATAATGATAAAACACACAATCTTTTCAGTCTTGAAATGAAACTTCAGGCATGAAACTAATCCTAAATATGTCCTCTCCTGTCCGCAACATGCATCTACCTGACAGGACACGCAGATGAAAGCCAGAACAGTAGGTCACCTGGCTGTGTGACCCCAGGCCCTGCAGGTAGGTCTGCAAAGGTGAGCCCAAGGGCCCAGGATTGAGAGTTCCTAACACTACCTCAGACCCCCCCCCCCCGCCACCCCCAGCAGTTCTCCAACAGACTTTGGGTGTATCTGCAAATTCGAAATAGTTATAAAATCACACAGTTTCAACAAATTAGCTATAAAAGGAGCCACCCAAAGTCTCGGGGCACTGCCACCCCCTTGCCATCTGCCCTCTCCTTCCTGCGCCCATAGTTCATAGGTTAGAGGTCAAGGGGGTGGGGGCTGTGATGAAATGCCTAGCTAAGGGGCAGTGGCTTGTGGCTTCTTTAATTGCATTTTTCCTTCAAAGAGGCATGGCACCCCAGGGAGACAGGCATGGCTGGGGCATCAGCCTGAACTCCTCCTGCCAGGAGCCCTTACCACACACATTAACGTGATACCAAGGGGGTAAAAAGTATCTCAAGGGGTCAATAGAGGTTTAGAGGAGATACTATAAATGAGGCTGCTCACCAAGGTCCTCTGTCACAAGCACCTTCCACCACTATTGACAAGGGGAGGTGGAACTGTGTCCGCTGCTCTTCGGGACAG